TGGTGAGATGGCCGAGCGGTCTAAGGCGCTGGTTTAAGGCACCAGTCTCTTCGGAGGCGTGGGTTCGAATCCCACTCTCATCAGTATCTTTTGATTCTCCATCAAACAACTCTTCCTTAAATTTTTTATTTTTTTTAATTTACAAAATTGTTAACCAAGCAACTTCAAAGCAAAAAACTAAGGTAATATACTAAGTAATAAACTGGAATTGTAACCAATAGTAAGTTAGCCGTGGATGAAGTAATCTCCGTGAGAAGCTTAGCTTCAAATATTTTGAACTCGTGGAACTTAATGAAGGAATTTTCAAAACTGTATATAATCAGTGATTACCTTTTTGTTAAATCTGATAGTGCAATTGTATTTGTGTAGATTATGAACTGCCATTTTCTCAATTCTCACATGATACGGATTCGCTTGCTTGGTCTCTTTGGAGCGGAATACCTACGATAAGAAAATTAAATTTGAAGAATAAAGTAAGCTAACCGGATATTTAACATTAGCTGATACATGGTCCAAGTCAGGAAGTTTTATACAATGAACTGCGTCTATTCGTTTGTTACGTCGGAATAAACGAATATAATAACTGTCCCCTTCTCTACCATACAAAACATCGTTTTCTGTTAAATCAACCCCTTCTTGTTTCGGTCGATCTGAATAGGGAATATACTTATTCGAAATGAATCATTTGAGAAACAACCTGTAACGTTCAGAAATTGAGAGTAGCATGCTTTCCCTAATATCTCATGAACACAACAATCATAAGTACCGTGCACTGCTAAGCGGTCTGCATTCGCATTCGCAGTGAATCTAAAGATTATAAGAATTAATGAGTGCCTCAAATAAATAAAGAATCTTCTCAAAAACATACATGAGGTTCTGCTTATGAATTTGAGTTTCTACAGGTAGAACGCTACTGCCGTTGAACCTCCAATGGTATCGACTCGTTGAATTTTGATCAAAATTTCCACAATTCAAAACACGCTGACCATCAGATTGAATGGCAAGGGAAGACCAAACACGGACTGGCAGCTGTCAATGAAGACAAATATTACAAGAGAGAAGGAAAGAATTAGATGCATCAATAATATTATATCGCTCTCAATCTTCACCGTTTTTTTTAATTATCAGAGCTTTTGCTGACTTACTTTAATCCTAGTCCATTGTTCTCCTAAAACGAGTGACGGAAACAAAAGCAGAAATAATGTGTTCATAAGTCTGAACAAGAAATAACAACTGAATCTGTAGGAAGTATACTTACATTTTTCTATAATTGCGTAGAGAATCGAAAAGTTCTTTTCAATTTAAGTAACACTTCGCTGTTGCGAACGATGATTGAGATAGAAGCTCAGAGTACCAGCTACTGTTTGAAGAAGCAGATACCCAAGTGAGAGAGGTCGTAGGGCGCTGAGAATGGGTGTGGAGACGGTTGCTCGACCACCAACTGAATAAACACATGTTATGTCCACAGCTTGACCTGTTCCAGTCACTTTGAGCTTACTTATTATCTGTTTGTTTCAATTAAGATATAACATTCATTATCGCTAGAAATATCACAGAACTAAAATTAAGATCACAGATCGATAAGTTAGAGTAGTAAGTAAGAAGGTATTATGATCCTCGACAAGTTTCAATATATATCACAGATCAGCACATCAATTTTAACGCTCCTTGACTGCTTCCGATGAGGAAGGCGTTATTGAGCGGAAGATGGTGTGCTGATACTGCCGTACCCGGCATACAATCACTTTTCAACCGGACTTCTAGACACGCTTGTTCGTCTTTGTACACTCTGGAATAACAATCAATATCCATTAACAAATCGAAAACTTTAACAAGAAGATAATCTCTTAAAATTTTCTGCTAATGGACAAGGCAAATAGAGACGAACCTCATAGTGCTATTGGCCACTAAAGTTGTTAATATATCATCAGTAACGTGAGCATTGAGAATAACTTCTCCTCCTAAACGTCTCAGTGAAGATATACGAGGGACTGTGTCAAACACCTAAACACAATAGTATCTGAATTTCAAAACAACTACTCACAACAGCGGATTCATCAGCATCGGTAACTAAAAACTTCGAATCTGAGAGCCAATTCACCGTTGTAGGATGAGTGTTATTCCCATGACTCAGAGAGAATAGTTTACCGGTCCGAGAGTCTATTAGAGCTATAGTGCCATTTGATAATGTAACAGCCATTTTGGGTCCTAAAGAATAAATTCATTATTTCATAAAAAAAAAGTTTCCGAACCATCTTTTCTAATGGATAGTGCTCGAGTCAAGCCCGTGGTAGGGGATATTTTCATATCACAAAACGTAGTTGGATCTCTGACGTCATACAATCTTAAAATCAGCTGTATACAATAATAATATATCATTGAAGTATATAAAGACTAGCTACGAGTCCGTTTACCTAACGGTAGAATGTAGACTGGAAATCGTTGCCAAAGTATTACGGTCAACTTTCCCTAATCCACAAATCGTTCCTTCCGGCCAGTCGATAACAGAAATTCGACTTCCTCGGAAAGGATCCCAAATCTGAATCAATTTTGTTATAACAGCTTTTTTTTTCATGAACTCACATGAACTGATCCGTCAGTAGAAGCAATGAAGTTATCGTGAATACTCAGTAAATCCACGATAGGACGCGTGTGAGCTCTGTAAGTCCAACGTGCTTCAACACTTTCGAATTCAGGATTCATCGCCCATAATCTTTAATAAGTATTAGATCAGATGCTTTATATGACCAATCACTTGATAGTTTTGTCAGCTGAACCAGAAATGTATGAGTTTTCATTTGATAGAACTTCTAAGCATTTGACAGCGCCAGTATGCCCTTCGAAGGAACATAAGGTCAACTGATCGAAACGAACAGTTTGCCTAAGACAATTTTAATGATCGCGTTATTTGTTGAACTGCATGCTTACTTGCTATTAGTTGTTGAACAAGCTGTAGCTGAGACGCGAGCGCACCAAATAGCTGATAAAGAACCGCTTTCTGATGTCCTCAAATATTGAGAAATTAAAAAAAATAAATTCGGAAATATTCAATACCCAACACCGCCAATCCGAGGTGGAGAAGAAGGTGGAGCAGAGAACAAACGATTTCCAGATGAGCAGGACGAGCTTCCCCCAAAATTGAACGAAGCTAGCGGCGATACCGCTGGTTGACTGTACTCAGTAGCATTGGACAAGACTAAACGAATTGGTGTCGCTTAAGTGGATATACGTCCGAATGTAACAAACCTTTGGAACTAATAAATGGAACCAAGAAAGGTGGATGAGGGCAAAGAGCAGAAAGTAATGGTACTCCCCATAAAGACGCGAATTTGTTTATCATTTCGGACATCAGCCAAATTGGGATGTTGAACGACTTGAAAGAAGAGAATGAAAATAAACTGGCTAATCCGTTTACCTCCGTAGAAGATTCTTTCTTTGAGACTGTGAGGCTTTCTGTCATCTGTGTTTGTTCATGGAACGTATTGAACAGAACTTCAAAAGGTTTCTTTGCATACATCCTGGTGTTATCTGCTCCTATTCGTGTAGCTATACTGTACAGGAGTAGAATAGCCTGAATAACATTAGTTATCCGAAGGCATTACCAAGTATCTTACCCGACTGAGAATAATAACTCGACTTCTATCATTAGAGAACGGAGTAGTAGATTGCAATGAGAAAGTGATAATCTTCAGAAGAATTTTATCTACGATAAACTCCTAAGGTTTTTGTAATTAAGAATGTACCGAAACTGAAGCATCACCTCTAGATAATTCATAAGTTCTTGATCTTTCATTATTTTGATGGATAATGAAATGATTTTAAAAATTCCTACTAATCCACCTTCCAGGTTTGGTGTCATTCGCCTCAAACATTGATCTGTATAGTCAACACAAAATGGCAAATATTGGACCTGAAGAAGTTCTCGAATTGAGGATTCTTCAATCTTTATACCGTCACGAAAGTAATGCTGTAAGATAGAGCAATTTCACCTAAAGCTGATTCTATTCGTTGACACCATTCATCACCTTCTAGTAAGAAGTTCAAACTAGTCTAAACATCAAGTTAAGCATAATGACTATTCTAAAAATCCATACCACATCACTCAAGTTTTCATTCCCTCCTGCCAAATAAAGACCATCAAACGCTGTTGGCATTATTCGTAAAAGATTCGATGTTATGAAACGTACTGTCACTATAGGCCCAAGTCTTTTCGAAAGCCTGAATTTGCATGATTTCTGATTTTCAAACGTCTGGTCAAGAATGTTCACCATAGCAGACTGTCTTTAGCCACAATACTTCTACTCAAATGCTTAGACGCAACAGCCTCAACCAACGCAGGTAGAAAACGGTCAAGAAATATTGGAGTACCATATACAAATGAGACTGAGAGCAAGAACCGTCGATCAATTAACTGAATCGAAAAAATGGATATTAATCCATGGGAGCCGTACCTTTATCGAAGATTCATAAGTGAGAAGTGATGCGAGAGAGGGAAGTAATGCCTGTAGAGATTCCTGGCTAAGTCTTTTGCACATCATGTTAAAGAGGCAGTATACCTGAGAAAAATAAAACATTATAACTTCTTTAGGAGAATACGAGTAAGAAACGGAACTCTCAATGATCATGAAATATTTGTAAGTAAACGAACCGATGTTATGCATGAAACAGGATCACGGATCAATCGCTCAAATAGGGGAATAAAAACAAAATCGTATAAGTCTGCTTCTATTATAAATTTACGTAGGTTTTCAACTTCTTTGACAAGAATGTTTTGCTCACGCGTTTCTACAACGATACTGTCACGACATTACATGTTATAAGCAAACCGTTATTATGCACATGTGGAGAACGACGTAATAAATGATAGGAGTAGAACTGAGATAACTTCCCATGAGCGGTTAAAATCTGAAAAGGTAGAAGTTATACTCATCTCCAGACAGAACTTCTCACGTCCATTGTTATTTTCAAAGAGCCTAAAAAATGGGAAGAGAAAAAACGAATTTGCGGGAGACGGGCATTTTCCAGTAGGACTGATTTTAGACTATCACCATAAAGACTATAAAAAATGCAAGATGGAAGTATATATATCAAATATACCTTGGCAGACAGTTCGAATTCTGTTTTAATTTACTCAAAACGTGTTCTTTATCAAATTGGCCATAAGTGTATGGAGCCATTGCTACCATAGCAAGCATCTCATACACTCCTCTCATTCGGTTGTTATATTTCGCCAGTCTATCTTCCTTCAAAATATAATATATTCATTTAATCCACATTGTTTCAAACTTTATCTTTCAATAGATTCCGATACATCTGTAAGAGATCGCCCATATCCTCTGTCTTCTGCTCTTTTTTATTTATACCTGGTTGAACTTTAGTTTGAAGACATCAGTCAATGTTTTACCTTTTTCTTGATTTATAGAAGCAGCCACTTCCATTTCATCCAAATAAAGATAATCAATGTTCTCTCCCTTTTTTCTTATATATTTTTTAGGATGTGGATACTGGAAGAGTTGAACAACTCCGTGACGACGCAATTGAATACTGGGAGTATCCCCAAGAGAAAGATGACAATTCAAAGAGTTAATAGCCTCATCTCCTGTTAACTAAGTAGAAAATAGATCTAAGTATTAAATTTCAATCAAACTTTACCAGATATCCATACGTCAAATCTATCCAATGATGTAGCTGAGAAGATACTTCGTCACTTTCTAACATTTCTCTATGCCATTTGATAAATTCATCAGGCGTTGGGGCGAACTCAGGTAATTCCAATGATGGCATATCAGGATGAATCGATTCTGAATTTCCATTAAACTTGAAGATCATTTAAAAATTACCAAAAACAAAAGGATTGTTATAAAACTCTGGAATACACTCATCAGGAGTCCATTCAAACATTCGCCTAATACTCACGGGATATTCCAGAGGCACCCACTAAAGAGAAGAATGAATGTATCTAATCATAAACTACTGAACCTTGCTACGGACGTGTTTGCAAAGTTTTTCTCTTTTCTCAACTCTTGCTCTATATACCATGTAACCAATGTCCGATAGTAGCTCAGGTATATGATGCGGAGGACTTCTTAAGTACATTTCTCTAAAAACACGAGTTTTACTTTTGATTTCAGACTTTCAATACTTCAATTGATCGTCTCCTTTGTTAAGACGATACTTGGTTTTGGTCAAATCTCTCCATCCGCCTCGTTTGTCGGAGAAATCACAGACCCATGGCATTATGTGATGGTTATGAACTTTAAAATGATATTTACTTTCATAACGGACCCAATCAACAAACCATCGCCATAAACTCGCCCAGCAAGTTCACCTAACTTCAGCAAATAATGAAAATTTGAAAGCTTTCCAGTCACCCAATCTTTTGTAACAACGTCTAATTTTAGACTTCTGAAAGTACGACATTTCTCAGGTTTATTTCTTCAATTCAACTTCTCTTTAGTAGTTACTGCAACGACAGGATCGAACAGTAGCCAGCAAGACTTATCGATATAGAACCCAGTAAGATTGAGAGGACAAAAGAAATATAAACTGCATAACTGACTGTAGACCTCATTCAGGCATATAGCGAACATTTGTAAAGTCTAAGAAGAAGCTTTATCAATCAAACCACTTCGTACCTGAGCCATATTTTTCATGTGACTTCGATGGAAGCGTAGAAACGTTTCTAGGGGAACCCAATCAGTTTCAAGCAATTGAGTCACAGTTATTAATCGAGTTTCGTCAACTATTATTAGATAAAACGGCACAAAATGAGGTCTTATATACAATGGATGATATTCCTCTTCCTCTACTTCATTCTGCAACAGAACCGTTGCCTATACGTGTTGTGCATGAACTTACATCTTTCAAGCTTATATAAGAACATTTCACTAGGTCAGCAAAAGAAACCCAACCACGTTTCCATTCGCGGTCAAAATCAAATGGTATTTCATCTTCTTCCGTTTTTAATATCAAGAAATCCTCTTCTTCTTCTGTTGTATCCCTATATCAATGTTAGTTCATTTGCCATTTGTGATAGATATTTACCTTCGCAACAGGATATTTCTTAAAAAGTTAGTAACATTAGATTCATCACATTGGCTTTTCTCGTAAAGTTGAATAGTTAATTGACATTCATTAACGGTGTGAGTGAATCGTTGTAGATGAGCAGCACCCTTCTTCCAGCGTATGACCTCTTTCAACAAGTTTTTCTGCTCTAACTTATTCCATGATGTTACGGTCCCTTCTGTCATTTTAACTTCTTCTACTTAGAATGGAAAAACTACAGAATATTCAGCAGATAATCAAGAATTACATAGTTCAAGAAAGACCGTTTTGACTTGGATTTTGTCCTGTCCTGGTCAGTAACCAGACATGCAGCGCGTCAGGGACGTAGGCAGTAGTCGCCACTAGGCGCAATTCAAATCGTCTTAGTTCATCATGCAGTTATTGTTTTTTTCTTATTTGTAATTAAATTTCTTATTTGTTTGCCTTTACGATAGAACAGCAATGTTCAACGGTTATTCTCATTTCCACTCGTTCCCTTCTGGGCAAAGAGAGACGGATGTATTTTAAAAAATAGAGCAACGGTTACGGTTATGAAAAAGTTTGCGAAAAAGAGTCAACTGTCCTGCAATTCAAAATATATCTCCAGCGTAATAATAAAGAAAATTTCCAAGTTAATCTTTAAGTCTATTGTTTCCTAGTTTCATGTAGTAGCATAAGAGTTTTCCAGTTTTCAATTGTGCAGATACAACTCATATGACTTCATCTTGTTTATTCATAACATGTCATTCTTCTTCGGGTATTTGAGAACGAATTCAGAATGTCTGCTGCTGCCGCTGCTGCTGCCAAAAACGACGCAGTCGGGGATTTACGAGTAAAAACAAGTTCAGGTATGGAACTTTCCTAGAGTTTGTTGATAATTGTTAGTTTAAAGGAGAAACTTTCATTCCTGCAACACAGAGAGCAGACGGCACATGGCGTAAAGCGAGAAAAGTGAAAAGCGGGTTTGTGAAAAACTACAAACAGTTCAGAATGGCAAATATGAAATATTCAGATATATCCCTCAAGAAGAACAGCCCAAATATCAGAACAAGATGCAACAAGCTGCTTCTACATCACAAGGACGATATGTTGTTGGGATCAAACCTCGAGACATTCAACCTGCCGGTCCCAAGAAGCCAATAGCCTGTAAGTTTCTTAAACACATTAAGACTGCATTTTATGCTTTCAGGTGTCGAAAACTCCAAAATAGCGATTACCCCTAAAGATCATTTACAAAAGAAAATAGATATTTTCCAAAGAAAATTAGACGAGATAGACTCTTTGAAGGTATTTTATTTGATTATTTAACATATCACAAGTTGTTTGTACAGAAGAGGATTGATGCTGGAGAACTCAAGCCTGTGCCTAACCAGATTACAAAAATTGGAAGAACGCAGGAATATGAAGATGAGATTTCTAAGCTCACTGCTCAGATGGAGAAACTTTAGATTCTGTAGCATCCGGTGATTTGTGACATTCTGAAAAATTTATATTTTGTATTTTGTATGATTAATGATTAATGTTTGCCTTCATAAATTGTTCGTAAGGATTCTGTAATTATTGCCATATCTTTCTCAATAGCTACTGACCAGTTATTCACATCACCTACTTCCTTAAGAAAGACAACAGTGAGGATTTTGATTGTTTTCAAACTTACTTTTAAAGCTTGATTTAAAGTCTCGGTTACCGTTAACCATTGCTCTGATTGACGACAAAGAGCTATAGCATTGCATTCAAAACGTTTTGCTTCCACATCTAACCTCTTCTGATTGGCGTATGCTTGCGATACTCTTAAGAGAAAACGTTATCATTCCTTCAGAAGAGAATTCCAAAAAATTTACTTCGAATTCAGATGATCAATTACAGCAGAGGATAAGTTATGAGCAGACACTATTGCTTCGTTTTTTAATTTTTCTGAATATAATATTTAAAAAGAAGTTTAACTTGGCAAACCCTGCATTTCCTTCCTTAATGTTTTCTGCTTGTTATGTTCCTTAAGCATCTCAGAAAGCGACATTTTGAAAAAAATGTTAACCAGTTACTGCTTAACTGCTTCAAAACTAACGAGCATCGAACCCCAATAAGTTGGAAATGACACAGCCAATTTTTATTTTATTGCGTACCCCCCCTGACGTCGACTAAGTGGAACGATTTCATAAATTATGTGGCCTACAGCTTATTAAGCAAATTTTTCTCATAAATTACAGTTGATAAAGCTGAAAGATGATTCATTCAAGAAATTGATTTATGAATCATTCAACCGTTATGTTTCTTTTCAGGACATGAATTCCACCTTATTAACATGTAAACGCCTCGGACAGGTGATCCAAACCGTTAGGGGAATGAAGAAATATGCGTTCCCTGTCACTTTCGAGAGTAATCTTTCCTTATATTTTGAAATTATTTATATTTTAAGATGTTAACTTCCCACCCAGTGGTCAAATGAAGCTACCTGTTATGCCACCTGAGCCGTTTTATGATGCAGAAAAAGGAGAAAGAAAGTGAGTTTACTGTGTAACGTATGATTTATGAAAATCTTTTCTTCTATAGGTTCAAATCTACGAAACGAATGATTGAAGCTAGAGGTGTTGAAGAAATTCATTGTGATTTAATACACGAACAGTATGGCTTAGCTGCTGTGTCTGGAGGTTTCATCAGCTCCGACGATTTCAAATTCATTCAAGTCTGTTATTGTGCCTACTGAATTTTTTACTTTCTCCATCTTAGGACAGAATCAACAAGAATCTGCTGCATAAGCAGTTTGCAGTATGGAGAGTCGATGCTCCTTGGTTGCCAAGAACAAAGAAAGCGCAAGGTTCTCGGTTGGGAGGTGGAAAAGGTTCCATCCAGAAATACGTAACCCCAGTACGCGCTAACCGCATAATTCTTGAAGTTGGAGGTTATATAACTGAAATTGAGGTAACCATTGAAAAACCCTCTAGATTTTGACCTCATTTTCCAGGCTAAGGCTTATCTAACATATCTGTGCGATCGTTTCCAGTTTCCTGTTGAGTTCGTTTCTCAACGTATGTTAACGGAACGAAGAGAGAATGAGAAAGAAATTGAGAAGCACAATAAGAATCCTTTTAATTGGGATAAGGTTAGATCTACTTGACACTTTCAGTTATTCACCATTTTTCAGGTGATAAAGTACAACATGCAAAACTGCAGAAGTTGGCTATCAGACTACGACATACAGTGGAAGGGAAGATATCGTTGATTTCAATACTATAGCTTTTATTGTTAGATTTTGTATTTAGAATTGTTGTTAGAAATGTGTTCATAAGAATTTAATAAGTCGTCTATCTTGTAAGACTGTGGGGATTTCCCTTAATACTTTTCTGATTTTTTTCTTTTATATCATTCTGTATCAACTTTTCAGTTTCTGCATGGTATAGTTCGGTTCGGATGGCTCTGGGCGAAGATGATGTGCTATCACTGCCTTTCAGTAAATTCGTGTATATAGTAGCAGGATTACCGTTCTCGGCTCTAGTCATTTGCCTTTTTTTTTCATATCTGTTACACTTTGAGGAAGCTACTAGTACTCACTGTGGAGTTCAAAATTGGTGAGAGCTTCGTAGTTCTGACGTTTATGAAGAAAGTTTTTACAGGCTGCCTTCAATATCAGCAGCAGTTTCATCTTATGCACCTGAGATGTACATTTGGCGTCTTCTCATAGCTATTCATGGAGGACCACGATTAATTCTTGCCTTTGCTTATAGGTTGGTAATTTTTCTTCTTAAAACTTTTAATTTTCTCAAGAACATATTCAAAAGTGCTTCTTGTCTTTTTCTGGTATACTTTTTTCTCCTTCCAGGAACTATCTTCAGTTTTCACCCCTCAGGCCCCACGGTAAGGCCAGACTTTTCTATTGGGGATGCCGCTTATCGTGCTGGCTCAACATAGTGGAGAATTTGTTTCTTTTGGGTTTAACATCTATATCTTCGACTGAGAATCATGGTGAGAGAGGCAACAGATCCCAAATAAAATATTTTATATTTTCAGGGATACATAAAGGTTGCTTTGTTGGCTTTGCCATTTCAGCGACATTGTATATGATATTGAGCTCTTGGCTTTTCCATGTTTCAGGACGACGAAGAGCAACGGAAGAGGTACTACTAAATAAATCGAAGTACATGCTTTTCTTTTTTGCAGGGTGAACGTTCGTACGAATATAAAATTCTTGCCTGTGGTAGCTCTGTTACATCGATTATCGTTGCGATGTATTTTTATTGGCGACATAATACGTGAGTTAACCTGATTCTCTCCAGTGTGGTTCAAAAATTGTTTGTTTTCAGCTATTGTGAGACTGGTGTTTATAGTCTTTTCGCTTTATCTGAATATGCGATTGTTCTTTCCAACATTATATTTCACTCAACAGCATATTATGACTTTTATGGTAAACGAGTAGCACTTTGCTCTCTGGGAGGAGGATATGGTTACCAAGCTTTACCAATGCATATGGAAAAGGATATCTAAATAAAACTCTTGGTTTTATAATTACTGAACTATAATAATAATTTATTCGTTTGGGCGTTTTTGAATACGGTTTCATATTCTTGTTTTGTTACATAATCTTTCGTGGCATTATCATTTCTAACATCCTGTGATATATAGTTATCTTAAGAAAGAAAAAAAATTGAATATTGGTTTTGTATAATGTCTACATATTATAACAGCGTTGCCTTTTCGCCTATTACATTCATTTCTCTGTTTTGTTCTGTGTTCAAACCGTTTGTTCAGATGGTGTTCTTCAGTTGTGACGCGTGCGGTGAATCTCTTAAGAAGAATCAAGTTGAGAAACACTCCTACCGATGCAAAACTTACAGTTTGAGTTGTTTGGATTGCCAGCTCATGTTCACGTAAGATTTGTACCTCTCTGTATAGCATCAAGTCATTAATTCAGAACACGGTCATACGCTACTCATACTAAATGTATAACTGAGAATCAAAAGTATGGTGGTCAAGGTTATGTTGAGAAAGAAGCCAAAGGTGAATTGAAACAGAACGCTTGGATCACCCAAGTTGAGAGTGCCATCGAGAACGTCTCCGATCTGTCTTTGAAGAACTTGTTGAAGAACATATTAGGTTTTACCAATATTCCAAGAAAAGTGAGCTTGATTCCTTTTCTCATCTTCATTATCTATTTAGGAAGCCAAATTCATCAACTTTTTGACTAATTCTTGTCGCATAAACAATCGAGGATTGTGTACAAGAGCATGGCAGGCTATTGCAGTTGAAGCCGAAAAATTGAAGAAAATAGAGGAGAGCCAGGTAACTCTGAAAATTCATGATTACCAACATGGTTATGCTCTAGAAGGCTGAAGAAGAGAAGAAGAAAGCTGAAGCAGCTGAATCTGAGGCTAAAACTAAAGCTGATGCTGAAAAAGCTGAATCATCTACCAAAAAGAAAGCACAGGAAGATTCTGTAAGTTGCAAATGCTGAGCATGTTTTGAGTTCGATTCATTAACTAATGAAACAACATTGTTTCACATTGTTTTTTCAATCATATTTTTATTTTGATCTGCGGATTTTATTTCCAATTCAAAAACCCTCGGTTTTTATAATTTTAATAAGACCTTAGTTGAATGCGACCGCTCTAGCGTGTATGCGGAATCCAAATGATTGTTCCAATTGTTGCGCACGACACGTCATAGAGCTTATTTGCATAAACATAGAGTAACATCATAATCAAAATATTCATTCTGAAAATTCAGAAAGAAGACGATGCTAGCAAATTCAAATGGAAATCGGCTATAAAGAGGAAATTGAAAGAAGCTGGAGGAGAAATGAAGGTTTTGTAGTTTAAACATTTTGTCTTTCAAATTTCACCTTCAGGTGAAGAAATTGAGATCCGCTGTTTTGGAAGACTATCGCAACGTATATGGAGAAATTGAAGATGATTCCGTTTTTGATGAGAAGCTGAAGAAAGCTGGTGTGAGTATAGACGGGAAAAAAGCTATATTAGCTTAACTTGTTCTAATTTTTGTTATTGAAACCGATGTTTCGTTTGTTATATCATTGTTATTGTTGTAATTGAAATCTTTAAATACAATTTTATGAACCTGTGTTATGTTATTAAGTCGATCATATTTGATTAGGTTATAAGAAAAGCTGAAGAAGAGTGTGTGTATATGTGTGTGAGTGTGCGATGTATAAGAGCTGACATAATCTGTTCTTTTGATTGCTTTGGGATGCTACTCTCACAATTCATTCAGTGTGGCAGGCAGAAGCTTCTAACTAGTGCAATAGTATGCTGCAGCGCTTTTGAAGGCCTTGCCAGAATCGATTTTACTTGGTCCTCAGGGAGGGGGGAATAGAAGGGAGCACGTCAGGCCTTCAGGCTTTCGCGTAGAGAGTGCGTCAGCTGAAAACAGCCGTCGTCGCTGACAGCGTACTTCAGAAGTCGCGTAGTGACTGAACAAAAGTTTTTTCTTCGTGTTCTTCGTCAGAATATATGATATGTTCTAAGTATTCGTGTTAATTATTGTCCAACAAATTGACTGCAGTTGTATAGCCAATGCAGAAGCTTAAGTAATGGCTACAACACGAGCCGCTACATGTGAGTTTTTAAAATGTTTCAAATTTTCTTCCTCCATAATGCTTTCCTGAGGCTGACAAATAAATAAATAAATTTGTAGTCATTAGCGAAAGTTTGCATAATTGTCTCTGCATATTGTTAATTAAAAGATGGAAATTCGGTTTTCAAACAAAAAATTTTGGCTTTTGCTGGCTCAAAACGTTATAAAGATGTAATTTTGAAGACGTTTTCCATTCGCATCTTCAACGCACCATATTGGCCGTTTTGTTTGATGTCAGTTCTTGCTGTAAAGGAACTGATGACGAAATTAAAATGTTCATTATGATTGATATGAAGAAAAAAACGTCTAAGGATATATCAGAGAGAGAAAAAGAGAGAGAGAGATATTTAGTTTGAGAGAATTTTTCTATCAAATCTTTCATTCATAATTTCCATTCTGACGTTCCAAACTTAACTTTTGATTACGAAAATTTTTGGAAGATTCCCAATTGATTATAGCCAAGTTTTAGCAAAAGAATATTGTTGAAGAGGATGTTGTGTATTTGGGATGTACAAGTAGGGAAAGTAGCGATTAACTCAAAGAGGATTTTTCTGAAGTTTGAGCTACGAAAAGCAGTGCGAAGCAGAGTTATGGGGATAAATGAGGATTTGTGAGTTAAGCGAGACTTTGTGCAGACCTATAATAACTCAAAAAACGTTGTTGCAAAGTTATGTTAAACTAGGCCCGTGAAAGTGAATTACGTAACCAGATGGATGAAAAAAAATATTTTTTCCATTCAGATATAGTATGACAAAAAGATGCAAAAAAAAAGAGCTTTAGCTGAGAATGAGAGAAATGATGTCGACGACTATGACAACGACAACGGCGACGACGGAATCGTCGAAGCTTCTGTTCTGTCTGTTGGGTGGCAGAAGTGGGCGGAGTTGAAAATGGTGGGGAAGGGGGTTAGAGTTAAAAGAGCACAGAAGAGTTGAAATATAAGGATGAATTAATAGACAGGCAGAGAAGGAGATGGATGAAGTCATAGAGAGAAAGTGAGAGAACAAGAGAGAGAGAGAAAAAGGGTTGGAAGGGTGTGTGAACAGATCTACAGAAAAAGATTGTAGAGAGCAAAAAGACGAAGAATTAGCCAACGAAGAGAGAAAAGCTGTGAAAGGAGTATATGGAGAAGTCGCACAAGCAGGAGTCGCACGGCGGAGAAATATAGATCCCACCCCCTTTTCTATCTATTTCCCTCCTTTCTTCAATTCTACTTTTCTTTTAATTCTAGCGAGAGAAATAGAAAGAGAAAAGAGAGAGAGAGAGGAATCAAGAATTGTGGAATATACTAGGAAGTAACGATAAGCTCAAAATTCTGTAAAGCAGCCTATATGCTGTGGATCTAAGCCATTCTCCCATTCTCTAGCTTCCCATACCTATGGCTTATCTCTTAAAATACTATACGTGTAGGTTTTCTTTAAAGACAGCTAAATTTGAAAAGATATTCTGTAATCTTTTTTATTTTTCTTCATTTTTGTTGTTTCAGTCTCGGCTAAGATCCGAACACTATCAGATTTCCAGTTGAGGCTTTCCACAAACCAACAACCGCCCAGCAATGCGGAGATCATCACGACCTTACGATATTTCCAGCAAACACTTATCGGGTTAGTTTCCAAGTATATTTGATAACTTGTGTGAGCTTAGTTTAAAAATGTAAAATCTCTTGCTATTCTACTTTGTGATGATGACATCTTCATCTGGCTCATTCAAAAGCTTGAAGGACGATGGATGAAAGCATCCAAACCAAATGGATATTGTTCTCCATTTCCTCTAATTAAGCCTTTGGTCTGTCGAAAAGAGAAAAATTGAAATGAGGATGAAGAAGAAAGTCATGTAGAGAGAGAAAGTATGAAAGAGAAAGAGAGAAATGGAGGGAAAACATACGAGTGGAGAAGGGCAAGTCTAGTAATTTGAATTTTGGCAGAAAATGATGCTCCAAACAGTCGAATTTTTTTTTTACAAAATTTTCATCTGACGAAGCAAATGAGGAACGAGGAACGAATAAGGAGAGAGAGGAAATTAGGAGAGAGCATTGAAAAAGGAAAAAAATCATCCAAATGAAGCCCTTTGCCATCATTTATGAAGACCATTTTGTCATCCCAAAATGCCGGAACTGGCCCAATTTCGTTCACGTGGCCCCTGTTCATGCAGATTCTTTCGGAAGATGATTTGCATAAGAAAGTAGAATTGCAAGTAAAGTAGTTCTAGAAGTGCTTTTCCCTGTTTTTCATCCGATTATTTGATTGGAAGCACGTTGTCAATTTGCTAAACTTCACCCACCCCAAAAAAGGCAAAGTGTATACGTGCAGACATAAAGAGGAATTCTTTTTGATTTATGAAGCGATGAATCTGCAGATATGTTGCTATCTGAGACCCTGTCTTCTCATTTGACGCTTAATTTGAAATAAAATAAACGAATAGAATCTCAACTTAATTTGAGGATGGTTGTGTGGTGGGGTGTAGGAAAAAAAAAGAAGGAGAGGGGGGGGGGGTTGGAATGAGGGTTGAGAAGGCTAGCAGAAGGATAGGCGAATAGGAAAAAGTGAGCACGAAGCCTATAAAATGACATTTGAATTGGTAATGTTTGGCTGGCAAGAAGGCATTTTCTTCAATTAGCGCAGTATGTTTTGTGAAAGAGAAAAACATCTCTTCATCATTCATTATGTGTAAAGGAGAATCGATGATTTCATTCTACATATAATGAATTTTCTCTCTCTTTTTGTTGTAAAAGAAGATGTTCTAAGAATTACTTTGAGCTCTCGTGATGTTTATGTGTCATCACTAGGCATCATCGTTTTTCCATATTTGGCATGAGAAAGAATCTTTTCAAAACGGAAAGTCATTAGGAGCAAGTGGAGGAAGAAGACAACTGAATGACAAAAGCCTCTGACAATTTTCATCCGGACAGGCTCTGAACCATCAGAGGAAGTCCGATGTTGGATCTCCATGCCTTTGTCTCTTTCAAACTCTCTCCTTCTGTTTGGAAATAGTTTGAACTCTCAATATCTCTAGAGAGAGTGAGAGATAGATAGACAAAAGTAGGAAAAGAGAGACAGATTGCGAACTTCCTCAAAATGATCTAGTGAAAGGGCACATTATGACGTTGATCATTATGACATCAGATGTTCAACAGGAGTTAACCTATAACTGACTGACTCATAATGTGATGTTGGTAGTGGTGGTGGCATACCCAACGTCAAACAACTGAAAGGACAACATGCACGAATTGTTCTTCCGGTCTCTCGACTTTCAGCAGGTGCATCTATTTTCTCAGACAACTGACGCCATTTCCTATTTTGAAAGTTCTAACATCTGAATGCATTTCAATGATTTACCGAAAAAGTGTGAGAGAAAAAAAAGATTTTTAATTTTGCCTCTGAGCCCTTTCATGACATTTGGGTGATGCAGTGACAAGAGAACGAAAGTGCTGTTATAACCCATTCATTCTTCTAATTTCTGTTTCTTTGTCTTTATCGTGCAGAAGAAGTAGGAGTCTCTCCAATCCTTTTCAAGCTTTTCCAGCTTAAACTTGAAAGACTTCATGAAGTAAAGATGACAAAGGAAAGAGTTGAAGAAGATCTTCACACTACTTACTCTTTCTATTTGATGCTACCAAATGTTTTCATCTGTTGATAAGTCTTCATAGACAGCTCTTCTTCCCATACTCAACGGCATCAGAAAGGTTTAGGTGAATCACCTTATCTTTCATTCGTTTTTGTTTTTCACCTCCCAAAGCTTTTCTTAAGCTTTTCTTTATTTTTTCAAATCAAAAGAGGAAAGAAGAAAATTCCGGGAAAAAAGTATATTATTGGATGTATATTTGATTGAGTAAATGTCACAAGAAGAACAGCGGTGATGGAAAAGGGGATAAGTAGACGTAAAAGCTTGAACGTGTATGAGAATGACACTGAATATGAAGCTTAACTTGTCTAATTGATAGTTAACTATCTCTGAGATCAAAGTTCCATCATTTTATAAGCGATTCATCAGATCTCTTGATGCTTACAAACAACAAACAACACCAATGTTTGTGACTTCACATCTTGACTGACGTCAGCTCATTCTTCTTCTTTCAGTTTCTTGAAGGATTTCCCTTCTGATCAAACACAATTCTGCCGAAAGTTTTCGTTAGATCCCGCACGATGGAATCTATATCCAAACCTCAATTATTCGGGTTTATTCTATGCTATTTGCAATCTTTTAGATGTTTTTCCATTAATCACTGTCGGACAATTGGGTAAGTCAAAAAGAAATCAGACAGACTGACAGATATGTTATTCAGCAATCGGAGAAGCTATCCTTGATACTATAAAAGCTTTGATGATATTCTTGGATAAAGATTCGTTAGAGCAGTTGCCTCTTCTTGTTGCCAGTCAATTGTCAGTATTTCCTCATGAATTAGATAAGCAGGTAAACATCATTCAGAAGTTTTATGTAAATCAACATCATCTTCAGATTGTACATCTCATTGCCGACTGTGTTTTACCATTTGCAAATACGGACGAAACTCTTATCAAACTTTCAATTCCCGGGTGTCTTATGCTGGTTTTTCAGAACGCAACAGATCCAAGTAAGCCACTCTGACTGATCTTTTCAAATAACGCTTTATGTTTTTAGGTTTACATACATGGATTGTCGAAGGCGCTATGAGTTGCTCAGCAAATGTCTACAACGATGTTACACAAGTACAACATTCAAGAAATTTTCAGAATAATCCTCTGTTTTAGGTCATAGCCAAAGGTACATCAGAATCTCGTGTAGCAGCAGCGAATTTACTTTTTCACTATTGGCCCTTCGCCAACCCGCATATTCTCCATAGACGAACAATTCAGTATAAAGTGCATGGTTAGAAATTGGCTTACGTTGATTGAAAAACGGATTATCTTTTCAGCTTGGGCGACGGTTCCATGCCAATCAAACTCTTGCTCGGAAAAGGGGCCTAGGTAAAGTTCAATACTGATACCCACTTACTTTGGAATATTTCAGCGTCAAGAGGTGTTTTGATCCTGTAGTCTGTGCTGATATCGCTGACACATCACCTCCTCTATTTCTCTGTAAGAGATGTGCCGACAATGTGATGGGAGAGAAGAAAACGGCGATTGAAACTATCACTCAGCCTTTACCTGGGAGTAGCGCAACCTGCCAACGTTCTGTAAGTTCTTATAAACTTTCTCTCTCCGTTACTAGTTATTTTTATTTATTTTTCGCTTATATGAACGATTCAGGAATGCCAATCGCAGTCTCGTTTAGCAGTCAGCATTTGCTTTTCTCCAGAATGTACAAGAACGCATTCACATGTTCCTGTAAGGTTGTGTGAGGTACTGATGGCTCTTATACAATTACTTGATTGATAATTTTGCAATATAGGATTGCTTCCGTATCGTGCATCCACTACCTAATCATGGACATCTGATTCAAAGAGGATGTGGAACAGTTTGGGGCAAGGATATTATGTGGGATATGGTTGAAGCAGTAGTTAAGCTATTGAGGGAGACAGCACAATTTGAAGGTACCTCTGATAGTAGTTGGAAATTCTTCTTATGCGAGTTCAGGTACTGAAGGAGAAGGCAAAAGGCCTAAATGGCTCAGGCAATTAGAAGGAGGGCATTCTATGGGAAAAGTATGTATATATTCATTACACCTTTCTAAGATAGCTTGCAGGAGATTGATCGTATGGCTGATGAAAGACGAATGCTGAGTCGTTTCGGAGTATGGTTGATGGCAGCTCTATGCTCTCCTGATTCAATAGCGGATAAGGTCTCTCATTCAAAGGAATGCTCAAATAATGTTTTTTCAATTTCAGAAAGCTATTGGTTATATAATGTACAATGTATTCCAATGGTTTTCAACTACAGCATTGCTACCCAACGATTCGATGGGAGCAAGTTTGGAGCAGCTGAAGACGGACGTAAGAATAGCTAGTGTACTACCTTTATACTGTTTTGCACTGTTTTTCAGTTTGTCTGTGATTGGATTAACATGGCCATACGCATTCACGACGATGTCTTCATCCAAATCCTTTCACCTCAAATGGAAGAAAGCGATACTCGACCTTACATCGAGCAAATCAAAGAAGGACTTGGAAGGTATGCGATAGTCGGCTAGTTACTCTAAGTTTTGAAAATTAAGACTATTATCATTGATGCCTTATGATATCATATCACATGATACTTGGACTCGTGTTATGCCATTGTGGCTACAGGCTATCCATTTGAACTGTACAGAAGAAAACCAACCAGAACTGAAAATTCTTCTGTGCAAAATCTTCGAATCAGATCTTTGCCCGTTACCATTTGAGATTGCGAAGGTAGACCTTTACTCTAATAAGTATAAGAAGAACATCGTTTGTGTAGGTATTTGAGTTCATCAGCAGAAGGTTAGCAGCTTCGGACTACGATGAGATGTTCAATGCTTTACAATGGCTTCATGTGAGTTATCAATTGGAGTGACCATTTCAAATATGTGGTTTAAGCAATTGTCTCGATTGGAGATATCTGTTCCCATGATTCTACTATTAGATGATTTTTGTAAATCGTTGAGACTACTACCATCGATGATTATACCTCCACTAGGAGAAAATGATTTAGAAGAAGATGATGTGAGCATTCACATAATCATGATAGATATCATAGTTTTACAAGTAAGAATCATTTCTGTTCAGTTTAACTTTCTCGAGTTATAGTTGAGACAGATTGATGTTTTGAATTCTGAGCATTCCCAGTTATATCAACATTTGTTTGCCTGCTTGTCCTTAATGCTCTCAGTTCCTTTACGAACAACTCCTCATGAATGCAAAAATCCTGAACTGGATGGCTTTTCCGATTGTTCAGGTATTTAATGATACGTCGGCTCTTTTTATAAGTTTATCATTATTCTACAGCTTGTCAACAAGCAGCGTTTCTTCATCAGATGATCATGCAGATCATAGAAACAGTCAGTCCCAAACAGGAAGTGGCTATCAGAACTTCGGATGAAGATGAAGGAATCGACTACACAGATATGTTAGAAGACATTTCTTCATTATCACATCCTAGTTCTGTTCTTTCACCTCAAACAGCTCCGGCGAGTAAAGGAAGTATGAACATGATTTTCATCGTTTAATACTTATTCAATAATATTCAGCTTCGCCTGCGGCTGCTGGTCCTGTCTCAATAGCTGATTCTGTTGTAATCAACGGTGGCTTACAGTTTCAAACTGCGGCTATGGAGGAGCAGCCAGAAGAGTTTGTTGGACTTTTGCCCGCAGAAGAAGTAAATCATATGATTAATTTGATTATCTTATTTATATTAATAGGTTGAAATAGGAATTGCTGAAGCTATAACTCTCACTGAAACAGATGTTGGTCGTGAAACAGTTAATGTTCTAACCACCAGCAATATTCATGGAGTAAAAGTATAATCACAAAGAAGATTTGAAGATACTGACTCTGTTCTTGTAGGGTAACACTCCAATGACCAACACTGCACCACATCAGCCGATTGATGATATTTGGGATACTTCAGTTGGTAGATTCCGATTCTCATTAGATGATCTTCCTACACAGTTAAAACTCATTCGATCCTTACTCCTTGTGAGAGTTCCAACAATTACTCGTTATTATAAATGATGTTGCAGAACTTGGAATCAGTAGAAGATCCAGATGTTGAATATTTCATCTTGGACAGCCTAAAATACCTTTGCTTGCATTGTGAAGCTCTGAGCAACGCAAGACGGGAGCATCGTGGATTCCTCATCTGGGTACAGGTAAGCTTTTTTGATTTTAAAGACTGAAAAACACAAACAACGACACATCAAATTTATAGGAAAACTTGATGGTCAGTAGGTTGTGGCAGAGACTTCGCTCAGATTATGTGCAAGTTGGAGAGTTAGCCACATTACTCCTTTTGCATTGCTTGACGTTCTCCTCAGGCGAAGATACATTTTGGAAAGTTATTCATACAGATTTTGTTTCAAGAGACTGGAAAGTTCGATTCGAAGCAGGTAAAACGATTGTGCAGTTACATATAAACGTACAAACTTTTAGTCGGAAGAGCATATGTGATTGCACATATGGTTAGAGCAATACCAGTTCGAGCGAATAAAGTCATCCAAACATCGCTGGCGGGCTTGTTCTACCACTTAGTAACTTCGCTACATGATCCCAACCCTACTGTTGCTCAAAGAACGATAATTGCCATCAGAGCCTTGCCAAGTCAAACACTCAAAGTAACATAAAATTCTGAACGAAGCTTCATATGACACCATGATGTTTGCAGTTGATGTGTTTCTGTTTCGAGTCACAATTCGACTCTTGCATTATGGATCGGCCAATGATAATACACGCAATTAGGATCTTGTTAACTCTGATGCCAGAAGAGCAAATATTATCGTTCGATTTCTTCATCCAGGTATTGCTCTAGTTCTATGTATAATCTGCTTCATTTCCTCTTTTCAGCGTTTTGAGACATTAGTATTGGAGAGTCAATTAGCAAACCAGAGCGAAGAAACTATATTTGTACAAGGTAAGCTTCATTGATTTCAGTTTTAATATCAATTCTATTAATTACAGATCTCATGCATACAGATCCCATGTCGGATTTGTATCAACGGAAGGTCACGAAAGCTCGAAAAGCAATAGAAGGTTTTTATCTCTCTTTATGTTCCCTAAAATGGTTCGTTCTCAATTAAGGATCATCAACATCACGATCTATCGCCAAGTATCTGAAGCAACTGAATGCTTTGAAACATCAATTGTTTTATCAGACTTCTTGTTCAGAAGGTAAAACTAAATAATACGATTGATAGTTGTCTAGTTTTGATGAAAACACCATCAAACACCTTACACAGGTTTTAATTGATTAACACTAACCCTTACAGGATCGTTTTAAAGCTTTGCTTCTTACTCATCTCTCTTTCTATTCTTCTCTGGCTCTCTCTTCTCTTCTCTGGCTCTCTCTCTATATCTCTGACTCTCTCTCTATCTCTCTGGCTCTCTCTCTCTCTTTCTCGCTCTTATTCTATGCCCTCTTCGATCTTCTCCTTCTTCGTCAACTACAGCTATCAGCTTTGATTACTGTAATCGTTCTTTGAGCACTATTTCTAGTCTATCAAGTCCTGTTCTTCTCCTTCTATTTTCAACCTGATTCTTTGAACCCTTTTCTGTTTCATCGGCTTCTTTGTTCTTTCTCCAACTCCAACACTCAAAAAAATCTTAAGTTTTACTAACTTGACCTTTTTTTCTAACAAGTTTTCCAAAAAATCTGTATGTTACCTACAACTGTTCCTGTCGTCAACTCACTTATCGCTCTGGAAGTCCTGTGTGCAAATTGTCTTTTTCAGCTTTCATCGTTCGTCAAACCTTTCTGTGTTTTTGCTGTGAAAACCAAACTGTTCTAAAGTCCTATCATCTTATGCTTTCTTCACACCTTTTCTTACCCGATTTCTCTAAGCTTTTGATTATTTCCCAAACAGATGTTTTGAGATTATCTATCAACCGCTTTTCCATTTAAGCAACGCTTTATTTCAAACCCAACCTTTCAAATTTTTATTTCTTAAACTAATACCTTATTTGGAGATACAGTTATGCCGACGGATACATCAAAAACTGTGAATTTACCTCGTTGGAGGAAACGAGGACGATTATCAGAAGCTGCTCTGTCTTGTCGTGTGAAGATTCTGAAAGTTGTAACAATGGTCCGTGTGGTTAATAGATGGCGTCAAATGGCAGCCAATATAACCTATGGAGCAGCTTCGATTGTATCATTGATTGCCAGCTCTTCAAGCTCTTTAGCTACAATACATCATCATCATCATCATAATTCTGCACAACTTCAACTTCATCTGCACCAGAATCATCATCGATCACACAGTCCTCATCCACCACAATCACCACAGCCACCGACGTCACCCATCGCATCATCCGGATTTCAGTTAAAGCGTATGTGATCGTATCTCTGGCCAGATCACTCTTTGTGCACACAACTTTTGTTTTTGTGTTATCGTACCACTGCACGTATATCTAACCTCTGTGTGCCTTATGTTAGCTTGCTATCTGCATGAACATACCTTTCCTTCTGTCTGTTTCTCCTCATTTCCTCTTTGGAAACTGTTGTTTCACCTCTATGACTTCTCTATTTCTTCTTCTTCTTCCCTCTTTTATCATTTGCAACATATAAGAAAGAACGAAATATAAAGAATACTATGTATTGAATGCTAGAAAACAATTCATTTGAACTTCATTTACCTTTTTTTGTTTATAAAAACAAAAATTTATAATCTGCCTGATAATACAGATTGAATTGTTTTCTTTGATTGTTTGGTTTTGTTGATTTGCTATCAACCTCTCCACTCCTCTTTTCTTCTGTTCATTTTTCTTATTGCTCCACTAATTATATATTTCTTTTCTATCAAACATATTTTCTCTTGCAGTGGATACTCATCATACACAACAACTCGACTCTGTCAGCGTTACTAGCCCTGCTTACTCTTCTGGTATGCTTCTTTTCTATATTTTCTGATCAAACTGATCAAACTGATTATTCTACTATTTTTCATTTTTCGAATATATATAGATCTTTCTTCGCATCCATATGCTTCTTGTTTCAACTTCTTTCTAATTTCCTTTCAAGAGCAAACTATAAACAAAACATCATAAATTCAATATGTCATCAAAATATAACAATTGATATCCTTTGTGATAGCACGATGTGTGCCTTATAAGGATTTAGGGAGATGGAAAAAAGGAATATCATTAAGTTTAATAATCTATCTTAATCATAGGTGGTTATGGTAGACTACGTGAATTCACAGATGAGGAAAGCAATATGTGTTTGCTTTTCAATCGAGTCGTTGATATGGAAAATCCTGAACGACATACCGTCTACTTGGTTATATCCTTGTTCGTAACTTTTCTCAGGTTTGAACGTGGAGTAAGCTGTAAGCTGTATGTATTGATTTTAGTAACAAAAATTCGACGCCAACTGATGAGAAAGCTAACGCCAAGAAACAATCTGTCCTTTTTCGACATTTCAATACCTTATTAGGTTACAGTAATACTGAGAAATGCTTCACTATTCCACCTGCTCGTTTGAGGTTTGAGAAATCTAGTGATTCTTAAATTTTCTTTTTTTTTGTTTCTGTTCAGAAAGTCAGCGGTTTGTAATGCTTTCTTAAGCGGTCTTCCTGAGATATTAGATATGAACCTGTGCATTGGTATGTTCAGATAGTTTCTTAATGAGATTTATGACGAATGTTAAAGGGAATCAAATGTTGCCTGTTGTATTACAACTTCTCATTCACCTTCCATCACCTCAGAAACTCGCAAGTGATCAGCATGTTGCTAACTATTCATTGAAGCTTCTTTCCCAACATTCGAGACATCTTTGGCTTAACTCATTAGTTCTAATACTATATAAGGTATAATCCGATGAATGAGATTTTTGAATGATGTTCGAACGCTATATCAACACTGGTCTTAGATCAATAGGTTAAAGCTATCTTTGAATTTTTCAGTATCGGTTCGACCAAGTACCATTCAGCGACGGAGTTACTAAACTGATTGATATAGTAGTAAAAACATTACAAGGTAAACAAAAAAAATTAAATCGTTTTTTTATCTTGATTATTTGTAGGACAAGCTCATGTGTGCGGTGAAGCAGAGCAAGCAAATGAGATAGCAACATGGGATGATTTAACTAATGATTCAGAAGACGAAGAAGAACGAAGCGGACTCGTTCGACCCGAAAGTTTAACTGTGACGACTATTCAGGTAATATATAATCTTCTTCCTTGTTTACACATAATACGATGAAGGAGCATAATGAGAACGAATATGGCAACCAACAGCCTATGATTTTGGAAACAAAAGCAGTTCCTCGGAAACGTAGCCGTGATGTCTCGAAAAGAAAGGGAAGGAAAGCTGGTGCTGGCAAATCGAATCATGCTTCAACTGTGGAGCTACGTTGTTCTCACTGCAACGATGCCATTGAATCATTTGATGAAGAAACCGTACATATCCTTAAAAAATATATATAGTCTCAGCTTATTCTTGCAGATTTCACTCTGTTTAATCAGCGTGGAGACATTCTTGCACCGTGAGCCTTCTATGGCTGCTCCTATCTTGTTCAGGATTCTTCACACTGTGACTAGGTATTCTACATTTTGTTTCAATTCGTCTTTATTGATAATTTAGATTAATCAATCGACCACTGTATCCTTGGCATAGCTCTGAAATGTTTGTTCCAGGCAATTGTCGGAGTGTTGCTAAGCAGATGCTCCGTGTAACTCTTCATCAGGTACAGTATTAACTTGGCTTAACCGAAAACATTTTTTATAGCTTTCATCTTCTGGAATCTGCCTCCAGCTTTTTGATTCATATCTATCTAAAGGAGATCCCTTTTGGTCAGTTATCTCTTTATCCCTGGCCGACTTCACCGAGCTCAGCCCTGTCCATCTTATTCAACTGCTTCTAGAGGTTTTCTTATAAATAACTTGTTCACATCAGCCAGATTTTCATTTATAGGATATCACAGAAAGTTGGCCGACTCGATTGTCCACTGTTATGAGAAATCTAGCTAGCTATATCATAGAAGTTCCTACTGATGCTTATATCAATCACTGGACAAATGTAACACAGCATTTGGATTCCTTTTTCAGACGCTATCATTCACAGGTTAGATTTTAAAACTTGTTTTAATTTCTTGAAATAGTTCCAGTTGTCGACGGATAACGCCATCAAAGTTTCAAAATATGAAATTGAAAGTGCCATAACAGTGATCTCCCATGTGCTGAAAGTTCAGAACTTCAGTGCTTTTAAAGTTTAAAGCTTCTTCTGTTTTGCGTTACTGACATATTGTTTCAGAACGCAGTTTCTCTAGTGGAAGCCTTTGCTAAATGGTTAGCTGAAGCGATGCACTCAAGTCCAGTTCAGCTCGAATCTCTTCTTTCTGTTTGTACCGCCTGTAATCGTGCACTTATAAGAGTAGGAAAATATCAATAACCTCTAATTTTTCTTAATTGACAGGAAAGAGATAAACAAAGCATTACAAGAGCTGTTGTGGCAGAGCTTATTCAAGCTATTAAATTCAAATGCTCAATGCATGAAGAAAACTATATGACGATTGCTAACATGATTCTACAGGATGCTGGGGAAGGTTGATCAGAAACTGAATTGCATATATGAGTAACGTGAATTTATAGATATTGATGTGATTCTGATGAATGGAGATCAATACAACACTGCTGCTGCAGAAGCCGTTCGACCTTTTCTGTTTGAGATTCTGGACTTTATTGCTGATTTGCATGTTTTAGCAAAGTTGAAAGTATATTTTAGTTAACTTCGACTTGTTACCGAACTATTTTCAGAAAGAAACAACTTCTGATTCTATTGGAGGTGATTTGAAAGGAAAGCTTGCTGAAGCCATTGCTGTAGAAATGAGTCGTTCGAATGCCCGTGACTGTAGGACTGTTATCCGTTTCATTCCTTGGCTTATGAGTCCTCCGAGTGTTACACAAGTAATCGCTCACATTGTAACAATTCTATTACTAATTTTAAATTAATAGTCTGCCCCTGGAGCCTTTGCTGACTCTGTGAGCAATGTACGAGTGCTGTCTTGGCTCTTATTAGGAGCGCTCCATGCGAATCATAGCTGCTTACCAGTGCCGATCGAATGCTCACAGCATATGGCAGATTACATTCATTTCGTACTTGCGGGTTTTGCTGATCAATCCAAAGTAAGAATCTTATCTCTGCTAATCTATGTACGTCTTTAAGCAATCTGTTGTTCACATGTCAGCTCTTTTTCACGCCTTTCATTTATGTCAGTTGTGGACTGTCTACTGTGAACGTGCAGCAGTTTTCCGTCCCAGTTCAACGACCGCGTTTGCTCATCTATTAGATTTTTGGGCAAGAGTTACTCCTGCAATACTTCAATTATTGAGTCATTCTAAAGTTGTAAGCTATTTCAACTATCACTACCTCTGTTCATCAATGATACTTCTAGCTGGCTGATATGGTTAATCTTCATTTTCTGAATACCATTCAGGCACTGCAACAGGTATTTATGCAACTTGTGATTTAGAAAAACAATCCATATATTGCAGGTTAATTCTGCTTTGTTATGCCAACTTTACTCATTATGGGCTCCCATTCTCACAGCCTATCACAGTCAAATACCAAATCAATTAAGGTACATGAAGACTGTAACAAATAATAGAACAAAGTTCAGAATGAAACTCGATTCTGGAGAAAACCAACCATGTCTAGAAGCTCCACAGATATCAGAATGGCTGAAAAAAGTTCGCTACAAAATTTCACAAGTAGAACTACAAACATCTGCCGCATCACCGTACTATAACGTATAACTGTAATGTTTGTAATCAGAAATAAATATAATATGGAAAAACATAATAATTAACAAACAGCGGACTGTAATTAGAAGGATACTATTTTTCATTCAGACAGGGTGAAGAAAAAAAACTTGATAAAAAAATTTAAATTTAAAAATAAAATTTAAACCATGGCGATGAACAGAGCTCAGTCTCTACTTACAGATCACACTCTTGGATATTCTCTGAGAACAAGGAGTTTTTTTCTGAAAATTTCAGAATTATTGGAAGGTCAGTTCTTATATACCATGACCTATCAAGTGTGCCACGATGGGACCAAAATACAGCCTCGTAGGGGGCTCGAACCCCTGACCGTTAGATTAAAAGTCTAACGCTCTACCAAACTGAGCTAACGGGGCTACTCTCACTTTTTCCGGGCTGCCCCACTTGTTTTCCTTCAAGATAGCTTTCAGTGAGGCAAAAAACTCAGTTGTTCATCAGAAACATGAAATTTCTGATGAAAAATGGTAGATTATCGCCCGGACAACTTTTATATACCCTGACCCATCAACTATGTCATGATGGGACCAAAATATAGCCTCGTAGGGGGCTCGAACCCCTGACCGTTAGATTAGAAGTCTAACGGTCTACCAAACTGAGCTAACGGGGCTACTCTCACATTTTCCGGGCTGCCCCACTAGTTTCCCTTCAAGATAGCTTTCAGTGAGGCAAAAAAACTCAGTTGTTCATCAGAAAAATGAAGTTTCTGATGAAAAATGGTAGATTATCGTCCGGACAACTCTTATATACCCTGACCCATCAACTATGGCATGATGGGACCAAAATATAGCCTCGTAGGGGGCTCGA